TCACGAATGATACCCTCAGACCCCAGCTATCTACCGAACGTCCATTCGTGTAAATCCCCTGTATATTCCCCAAGTTATGGATTTTTATGTGAATTGTCGGTTCTGCTGCACGAGGGGATAATCCACTTAACGGTGCATTCTGGGAAGATTATCCCTCTCGTGCAGCGGTGCCTGATGGGAGAAATATGTTGTAATGTAAGTCCCCCATGTAGTCCCCTTTGGGAGTGCCCCTGGGGAGGGACTCAGGAAACCCCTTGCATGGGGACTTGTATAAATTGTCCTGCTGATTAAAAGGTTGTCAGTTGACTCCCAGCCTATGTGTCGTCTAGTTCTTGGGAAGGAAGGGTTACTACAGTGCTGTCTGGATTATTGTATGCTGATTCCCTGGATTATTTTATGTTGTTCCTGTTACCCAGCGGAGATATCGTGGATTATACTACCTCTCCGCTACAATTGGTGGCAAGCGACGGGATTGAATTTACACAGCAAAGCAACGTTCGGCAGATTTTTAAACGAATCAAGGAACAGGCATTCGGGAATTAGCGCATTCGAATAAACCTCACGAACAGCAGGTGAATGGGAACAAATTACGCCCTGCTAAAACGGAGCACATTAAAGGAGCTGCTGGAAGCAAGAGGAGCAACAAGGCAAAGGCTGTCTTAATTAAAGAGCTCATGGAAGGAGACAGAGCCGCAGCTGCTGCAGCACCTCAAATGGAGGGAGAAACCCACGAATTTACAGCTGAATTCCGAGCACGAATGGCTTTATTCCCTGAACCCCCATCTGCAGAGATGGTTAACAGGCTGTTCGGAGATGTACAGGAGTACATTATGGCTAGGAGACCGCAAGGGAACCAGCAAGCCGGGGAAAGAGCCGCAACGCCAGTACATATTCTCCCAGGGAAAGCCAAAATCCCATATCAAGCCTTCAAAAGCTATGTGGAGACAGAGGGTGGCGTTGACGACTATTTACAGGACTTCGAGAGACTGCACAAAATTAACGATGCAGACAGAGTACCCCTACTAGCGGGGAGATTATCTGGGCGAGCCGCCGAAGCGTACCGGGCAGTACCAGACGAGGATAGTAGAGACTACGCTAAAGTAAAACAGGCCATTCTAGCCCGGTATGCCATCACATCAGAGGCGTACCGAAAGAAGTTTCGGGACATTAAAAAAACCCGCTAAAGACACCCATGTAGAATGGGCGCACCAGCTGCAACGAGCTGCCAAGGGGTGGCTGGAGGCCGCCCAAGTTGATACATTGGAGGGTCTGTTCCAGCTAATGGTACTGGAGCAATTCTTCAATGGCGTCCCGACCTACCTACAAAACTGGATTCGGGACAGAAAGCCACACACCCTGCAGGAAGCGGCTAATATGGCAGACGATTTCCAGCCCTCCAAGGGGCCCCGCAACTCACCAGCGACCAGGGGTAAGCCAGAATTCCTACCCCCCCAGGTATTCAGCACGTCCACCAATCCGGTGCCATACCTGCAACCAACAGGGGCACATCCAGAGAGACTGCCCACGGAACCGGCCTCGACCCAGCTGGAATAACGCCGCCCCGAGCAACCGTGCCGCAGTCCATTGTCTACAGGCCGAATCCTACCAAGATTTGGAGTTGGGGAAAACCCGGGAGGAACCCCTCGGCACTCTACACGAGGTGAACCCTATCCAGGCCGCCTCCGATAACCGCCAAGGGCACCGCCAGGAAGTACACATGGAGGGGAGGAAAGTACAAGGACTTCGTGACTCGGGAGCCACCCTAACTCTAGTACGCAGTCATCTGGTACCAAAGCCCAAGCTCACGGGGGACTGTGTGGCTGTGCGGGTGGCTGGGGGAGCCATTTACAAAGTACCCATGGCCAAGGTGCACTTGAATTGGGGAGCGGGGCACGGGAATGTATATGTGGGGATGATGCAAGACTTGTCAGCGGATGTAATTTTGGGCAACGATTTGGGGGAGCTGACTTCAGCTTTTGTTCCACAGCCCACCTTACAAGAAGCATACCCGGTTGTGACCCGGCAACAGGCCCGCACCACAGCACCATCCGAACACTCTGAGGCTCAGGTAAGCAATGACCCTCCCCTACCCCCTATCATGCCCTGGGCCAATTCCATAGAGTTCGGGGCCGAAGTAGCCCTAGATCCTTCGTTACAGGTATACAAAGACCGCATTGATAAAGATCAAGCCGGGTTAGAGGGGGAAAGATATATCTGGGACAAAGGATTACTATATCGGCACGCAGAGAAGGTAGTGTCCGGGTCAATACCGTTGCCCATTAAACAGCTAATAGTGCCTCGAAAATATAGGTTAGAGCTGTTACGCATAGCCCATGATATCCCCCTGTCTGGACACCTAGGCATCAGTCGGACCAAGCACAGGCTGACCCAAAATTTCTTTTGGCCAGGTATTTCCCAGGATATTAAGCGATATTGTCAGACCTGTGATACCTGCCAAAGGGTAGGCAAGAGGGGGGACAGATACAAAGCCCGACTACGGTCTCTGCCCATCATTGAAGAACCATTCAGTAGGGTGGCAGTAGACATTATAGGTCCCCTCGCAAAACCCAGCCCCTCCGGCAAGAAATATGTCCTAACTGTGGTGGACTACGCCACCCGGTACCCCGAGGCAGTGGCCCTAACGAACGTACACGCAGAAACGGTAGCCGAGGCCCTGATGAGGATATTCACCCGGGTAGGATTTCCCCGGGAGATTATCTCCAATAGAGGCACCCAGTTTACTGCTGAAGTGACCCATCAGCTCTGGAAAATATGTGGGATACAACAAATCCTCAACTCCCCATATCACCCCCAGTCCAATGGGCTCTGTGAACGGTTTAACGGAACCCTGAAACAAATGATCCGCACGTTCATGGACACCCAAAAAGACTGGGAGAGGTTTTTACCCCACCTGCTGTTCGCGTATCGAGAAGTGCGGATTCTCTCCGTTCAAATTATTATTCGGGAGGAGAGTGAGGGGACCTCTTGACTTGATACGGGAACACTGGGAGGGAGACAAAACCATTAATGGCACCCCTATCTTACCATATGTGCTCGAGTTCAGGGAACGCCTGGAGAGGCTAACCCAGACCGTCCGAGACAATCTCCAGGTAGCGCAACAGCGACAGCGCCGATGGTATGATAAGGGAGCCAGGGACCGCAGCTTCCAGGTGGGGCAGAAAGTCCTAATCTTGCAACCCGTCCACAAAGATAAGCTGCAGGCTTCCTGGCAGGGCCCATACAAAGTGGTGGAACAGATCTGTGACACCACCTATGTGATCGGCCCGGTTACCGGCGTGGGAGGCAAACGCATGCTACATGTGAACATGCTCAAGCCATACCACGAACGTACTGAGGAAGTCACCGCAATCTGTGCCCCTGCCACGGAAGATTTTGATAACCTACCCCTTCCCGATCTCCTAGACCAAGAGGGCCAGAGCGGAGATCTGGGAGAGGTACAGTTAGGTGAAAGATTAAATGCCCAAGAGCGGGCCCAGGTACAAAGGTTGCTTCAGGAAAAGAAGGCCACGTTTTCCAATTTTCCCGGCTATACCCCTTTGGCTACCCATAAGGTAGAAACTTTAGATCAGACCCCCTTGCGCCAACCCCCATACCGCACTCCAGAAGTAGTCAAAGAAAGTATGCGCAAGGAAATTGAGGAGATGATTCAGTTAGGAGTAATAGAGCACTCGGACAGCCCCTGGGCCTCCCCGGTAGTACTGGTGCCAAAACGGGACGGGACGACCCGTTTCTGCGTAGACTACCGACGGCTCAACGATAAAACGACCTCTGACGCATATCCCATGCCCCGAATAGACGAACTCCTCGACAAGATGGCCAGGGGTCAATACCTAACCACTATAGACCTGTGCAAAGGGTACTGGCAGATTCCATTAGCGGAAGACGCCATCCCTAAGTCGGCCTTTGTCACCCCGTTTGGCCTGTATCAGTTTAAGGTCATGCCATTCGGGATGAAAAACGCTCCAGCTACCTTTCAGAGAATGGTGGACAGATTATTAGATGGGTTCCAGGAGTATGCCTGCGCGTATCTAGATGATATCGCCATATTCAGCCACTCCTGGCCCGAACATCTGGTTCACATAGGAGCCATTCTAGACCGAATCCGAGAGGCCGGACTGACCCTAAAACCCAGCAAATGCCATATCGGTATGGCGGAAGTCCAGTACCTAGGGCACCGGGTAGGGAGTGGACAGCAGAAACCCGAACCTGCTAAAATAGAGGCAGTCGCCCAATGGCCTACCCCTCGCACCAAGACCCAAGTGCTCGCCTTTTTAGGGACCGCCGGGTACTACCGGAGGTTTGTGGCCAACTATAGCGCCCTTGCCAAACCCCTCACAGACCTGACCCGCAAGAACCTCCCTAAGTTAGTACAGGGAGTGCAGAATTATTAGGCAAGTTGTATTTTTGAGGATTAATTTTATTATTGAACAACAACCATGTTCTCAATGAACCCAAAAAACTCATTAATATCAAAGCTGAATATTTTTGGAAGTAGTTTTTAGTTTTAGCTATGTTAGGGGGATATATGTGTGTGCAGGTGACTATTACTGTGCATAATTATTAGGCAACTTAACAAAAAACAAATATATACCCATTTCAATTATTTATTATTACCAGTGAAACCAATATAACATCTCAACATTCACAAATATACATTTCTGACATTCAAAAACAAAGCAAAAACAAATCAGTGACCAATATAGCCACCTTTCTTTGCAAGGACACTCAAAAGCCTGCCATCCATGGATTCTGTCAGTGTTTTGATCTGTTCACCATCAACATTGTGCGTGAGCAGCAACCACAGCCTCCAGACACTGTTCAGAGAGGTGTACTGTTTTCCCTCCTTGTAAATCTCACATTTGATGATGGACCACAGGTTCTCAATGGGGTTCAGATCAGGTGAATAAGGAGGCCATGTCATTAGATTTTCTTCTTTTATACCCTTTCTTGCCAGCCACGCTGTGGAGTACTTGGACGCGTGTGATGGAGCATTGTCCTGCATGAAAATCATGTTTTTCTTGAAGGATGCAGACTTCTTCCTGTACCACTGCTTGAAGAAGGTGTCTTCCAGGAACTGGCAGTAGGACTGGGAGTTGAGCTTGACTCCATCCTCAACCCGAAAAGGCCCCACAAGCTCATCTTTGATGATACCAGCCCAAACCAGTACTCCACCTCCACCTTGCTGGCATCTGAGTCGGACTGGAGCTCTCTGCCCTTTACCAATCCAGCCACGGGCCTATCCATCTGGCCCATCAAGACTCACTCTCATTTCATCAGTCCATAAAACCTTAGAAAAATCAGTCTTGAGATATTTCTTGGCCCAGTCTTGACGTTTCAGCTTGTGTGTCTTGTTCAGTGGTGGTCGTCTTTCAGCCTTTCTTACCTTGGCCATGTCTCTGAGTATTGCACACCTTGTGCTTTTGGGCACTCAGTGATGTTGCAGCTCTGAAATATGGCCAAACTGGTGGCAAGTGGCATCGTGGCAGCTGCACGCTTGACTTTTCTCAGTTCATGGGCAGTTATTTTGCGCCTTGGTTTTTCCACACGCTTCTTGCGACCCTGTTGACTATTTTGAATGAAACGCTTGATTGTTCGATGATCACGCTTCAGAAGCTTTGCAATTTTAAGAGTGCTGCATCCCTCTGCAAGATATCTCACTATTTTTGACTTTTCTGAGCCTGTCAAGTCCTTCTTTTGACCCATTTTGCCAAAGGAAAGGAAGTTGCCTAATAATTATGCACACCTGATATAGGGTGTTGATGTCATTAGACCACACCCCTTCTCATTACAGAGATGCACATCACCTAATATGCTTACTTGGTAGTAGGCTTTCGAGCCTATACAGCTTGGAGTAAGACA